ATATATATACAGAGACATCCTGAGTAGAAAGACATGTTTGTCGTTCAGGTGGCCGCTGATATATTCAACAGCAAAATTAACTTTGAGCTTAGCTTTCCAAACAGGCCGACAGTGCTCGAGGTGACCCGCGCTACAGAGGCTGCGTTCTCCAACGAAATTGCCCTTCGTCGTGCGGACAACATTCCGCCCCATAACTTCCATGTCGCCAAGATTAAGATGTACGATGAGGATAAAAACAAGTGGGTTGATTTACTTTCAGAGGGGCAGCTGATCGAATACTGTCAGCTCTATGCATTCCAGCCGGAAAACCCATGGCACAAGGAGAGCCAAAAAGAGATTCCAGCGGCGATAAAGCCACCCACGTCTGCTCAGCGCTACTCAGCGAATAATTCCTCTCCGCCGGCGGCACGCGTGGCTGCCAACGGCAGCGGCTCTGCTCATGGCGTGCTGGGACCTTACACAGGCGGACGCACGCCGGGTAGTCAGCGCAGTGAGCCACAGCCGGCACGTCGTACTTCGTTTCAGGCGAACACGTCCGGAGCCCTTGTACCTAAATTGGCTGTCGAGGCATCACAAGAAGAGAAGCTGCGCGTCCTGTTCGCCGAGCTGGATGTCAAGGGCAACCGAATGCTCGAAGTGGAGGATCTCAAGCAGGGATTCCGCACCTTCAATCTTGATTTCTCCGCCGCAACGGTGGAGGATCTCTTCGATAAGGCCGACACGAACCGTGACGGCACGATTTCCTTCTCGGAGTTTGAGCGTTTTGGTCGTCTGTACCCAATCATGACGGACTGTCTCTTCTTCCGTTCCAAGGCCTTCTGGGACGAGGAACAAATGAAGCGGGAGATCCAGGCGGAGCGGCAGGCAGTGAAGCAAGCGGAACAGGCTGTTGAACAGGCACGGAAGGCATTGGAGGACGCCGCACAGGACGTCGACGTCGCGAAGGACGCCGTCGTCGCCGCGGAGGCGGAGCTAAAGGATCGTGCGGACCGTCTTCGCGATCTGACAAGGGACATGGACAACGCTAAGAGGGAGAAGGAACGCGCCATTCGTGAGAAGAAGGAACGCGAGAAGGAGCTCGCCGATACGAGAGAGCGTGAAAAGGAGATGCGCAAGGAGGCGCAGGAAATAGCACGCGAGGCGGAGAAGTTAGAACGCCGCGTGGCGAGTCTCTCCGGCGACGCGGTGGGCGCAGACGACAAGGTGCGGCAGCTGGAGAAGGCGCTGGAGGAGGCGCGGCGCGCGGCGGAGCGCG